TTTTTCTTTTTGCTTATATGGTGCTGAGGAATCGAACCCAGGGCCTCAGGCATGCAAAGCAAGCGCTCTACCACTGAGCCACCTTCCCAGCCCCCCTTGCTTTATTTTTTGTGTGCATACTATCTCCTCAGTTTTGTTGCTCACAACAACATGTGCTTTACCACTTGAATCATACCTCCAGTCTAGCTTTTTTGCTAGATAATTGGAGAGGGAATCTCTTGGACTTTTCTGCCTGGGTTGGCTTCAAACAGTTATCCTCCTGAGTCCTTAAGATTCTAGGGATGAGCCATTAACTCTTTCCACATCATTTTAAACCCTTTTTGGTCAACAGAGGGTTGTGGATATATTAAATAACACAAAACAGCCTAAGCAGATGATTTTCTGATGATTTTCTACTTAGAAACTTTTTCTTCTGCTGAATGACAATTCTGATTCTTCAAGACTATCAATTATCTGGTTTGGTAATTTATATTAATTAGAAGTGCTTAGTGACTGTGCCCTGAAGCATGTAAATAAATGACAATAAAATGTATGTAAGAAAAAGTTCTTTTTTAACAAGAAACAATTCATTGTGGTAAGGAGCTATCAAAGCTTCAGGGTGCTTTAGTGTTCTGTGAAAATGATCTGGAAATTTTTTTTTTTTTGGTTGGCTGTGGGGCTTGAACTCTGGGCCTGGGCGCTGTCCCTCAGCTCTTCAGTTCAAGGCTAGCGCTCTACCACTTGTGCCACAGCACCATTTCCGGCTTTTTTTTTTTTGCTTATGTGGTGCTGAAGAATCGAACCCAGGGCCTCAGGCATGCAAGGCAAGCGCTCTACCACTGAGCCACCTTTCCAGCCCTATCTGTAACCTTTCTTAGCAAGATTAAACTCATGAGTGGGAAAGTCTTCTGAAATGTGGCTAGAGTTCAAGAATGTTCAAATTCTTCACCGACCAAGTGCTCATGTTGTAATTAGATATGTTTGCGCTTTTTGCCCACAGGACCTGATCTATTTCCTTTGAGGGATAATTAGGGAAGAGGAGTGGTGCAGTCCTGGAATATGCCTGCAGTGGTCACTTTTTTAAGATCCTTAAAGTTATTTTTTATTAAAATAATGCTGTGCATATTCTGTACTACTTTGTTGTAGTCTGATTCTAAAAATATTTTGTAACAGGATAAAGCTCTTACCTGAATTGTGGGAGGTTTCTTAAAGATTAGGCTAGGAGGAAGTGAGAAGACAATTTATTTTTAAGTGCATAGCCTTGCTAGGCTTCACTTATGGGAATTGCATGTAAGGAGCACTAAGGAATTGTTGTGTGCCTTAGAGCCCTGAATCTGGTAACTTCTTGGCTTACTCTATGAGATGAGTCCCTCAGAATACTTCTTAAGACAGAGTCCACTGTCTCTATTCACCTTTCCCACCTGTTGCATTTATCTCTAATGTTTGTTGTGCTATCACTTCTTTCCTACTGTTTTCTTCTTTTTCTTCCTTTTTTCCTCCCACAATGCTGAAGATTGAAGCCATGGTTTCACTCATGATCAGCATATACATTACCATTTAGCCACATCCGAAGCCCTATCAGTTATTTTTTTTTTTTTTTTGTCGGTCATGGGGCTTGAACTCTGGGCCTGGGCATTGTCCCTCAGCTCTTTAGCTCAAGGCAAGCGCTCTACCGCTTGAGCTACAATGCCACTTCCGGTTTTCTAGTAGTTTATTGGAGATAAGAGTCTCACAGACTTTCCTGCCTGTGATGGCTTTGAACTGTGATCCTCAGATCTCAGCCTCCTGAGTAGCTAGGATTACAGGCGTGAGCCACCGGCGCCCGGCTTTATCAGTTCTTTCTAATAGGGATACTAGCTGGGAAATTGCAGTGCTTCAGATGCTTTTTTTCCCCTGGGATGCTCTTATTGAGCTGCCAGAACAATCTTTACACTTCATGATGTAATGATACCTGTTCCTGTGATAAGCTTGCTCTAGGCTGATCAGATCTTGGAAGGTTCCAGTTTCTGCAGCCATCATGTTGCCAAAGAATCTTATGAAGAAGCAGCACTGGGCTCCTCTCTGGATGCTACATTTAAAGTGTTTGAAGTTGGTGGGCCTATTTTTTCCTTGGGATCAGAATGGACTAGCATTTGCTAGCCTAAAATGAAGGAAAATAATTCACTCCATCTTTTAGAATTGGATCTCTGCCAGAGTAACTTCAGTGGTTTTGTCATTGATCTTCCTAAATCAGTGAGTGTGATAGGTAAAATCTTAAACCATAGCTTAGGACTTCTGGTCTTAACAACTCAGAGAGTTACTGGTAAGTAGGAAGCTGATGGTTCTGAAAGTTGAGGTGAGCAGAGACAGGAATTTGGGTACATCTTGATATTTGATGAATGGTACCTAAAAACATCTCAGCATCCCATCTTTGCCTAGCCTCAGGCACAGGGTGAAAAGGATATTGGTGGCTGCTAAGTTGGTTGTAGTTTAGGTTCCAGATCCATTTTTCAATGTCTGTGTGACTTATTATGATGTCAGAGCCATAAGTGTTCATTGTAGAAAAATAGAAGAATAAGGATATTAAAAAATTAAGATGGGCTGGGAGTGTGGCTCAGCGATAGAGTGCTTGCCTAGCATGCATGAAGCCCTGGGTTCAATTCATCAGTACCACATAAACAGATAAATCTAGAAGTGGTGCTGTGGCTTAAGTAGTAGAGTGCTAGCCTTGAGCAAAAGAAGCTCAGGGACAGTGCCCAGGACCTGAATTCAAGCCCCAGGACTGGCAAAAAAAATTTAAAAAAATTAAGAATTATGAACTTCTTAACAACTCTTAATGTATTCCTATCAGATATGTGTGTGTATTTGTGTGTTTCACCAAAATTAGATTAATATTGCCACTTATAATCTACTTTTTTCACTGAAAATACATTATAAATTTCTTTCCATATCGATGCTAAGATACATTGCTTCATTTTACTTTATTTATTTATTGGGTCCGGTCGTGGGGCCTGAACTCTGGGCCTGGGCACTGTCCCTTAGCTCTTCAGCTCAAGGCTAGCGCTCTACCACTTGAGCCACAGCGCCACTTCCGGCCTTTTTCTTTTTGCTTATGTGGTGCTGAGGAATCGAACCCAGGGCCTCATGCATGCAAGGCAAGCGCTCTACCACTGAACCACCTTCCCAGCCCTTACTTTATTATTTATTTATTTATTTATATTTTGGGTCCGGTTGTGGAGCCTGAACTCTGGGCCTGGGCGCTGTCCCGCAGCTCTTCAGCTCAAGACTAGTGCTCTACCACTTGAGCCACAGTGCCACTTCCGGCTTTTTTCTTTTTGCTTATATGGTGCTGAGGAATCGAACCCAGGGCCTCAGGCATGCAAAGCAAGCGCTCTACCACTGAGCCACCTTCCCAGCCCCCCTTGCTTTATTTTTTGTGTGCATACTATCTCCTCAGTTTTGTTGCTCACAACAACATGTGCTTTACCACTTGAATCATACCTCCAGTCTAGCTTTTTTGCTAGATAATTGGAGAGGGAATCTCTTGGACTTTTCTGCCTGGGTTGGCTTCAAACAGTTATCCTCCTGAGTCCTTAAGATTCTAGGGATGAGCCATTAACTCTTTCCACATCATTTTAAACCCTTTTTGGTCAACAGAGGGTTGTGGATATATTAAATAACACAAAACAGCCTAAGCAGATGATTTTCTGATGAT